TTTCAGTACATGAATAGCGGCGGAGTACTATAAATGAACATCCAAAATGCCAGCCAATTACTATGGTGTCCCTTTACTCAACCTCTCCATATTAAGCCCTGGTTGTCAAACAGATTGTCTCCGCCGCTCTGCGCAGCCTGCACTGTGAAACAGTTTTCATTAAGGAAGGATTGCCATGGGCCCAAAGCTGGCGGCTTAATGTAATTTCACAGCTCAGCGTCCGTGCAGCCACTTCAGGGTCCAACCACGGCCACCCACACCTTTACAAGAGCCAGCGAGAGGTGCTGAAAGGGTGACAGGCCGCTAGTAAGTTTTAGGAGCGAGAAGGGAGCCCCAAAATTAAATTCCAGCACAGGAAATGACTGCAATAATAACATAACAGCTAGTAAGGCTTTGGAAATAAACATGTACAGAGATAGTCCTGATTTAGTGTTTGTGATGTGTTCATGATGGGAAACTCACTGGAGTGTTTAGTATCTGATTTACAACAAAAAAAACGAGTGGGATTCTTGCACACATATTATGGAAATGATCAATGATGCATTCCAAGATTTGGTTCAAACACTGAATTCCACTAAAGCTTCTTCTGGCTATATATGAAAGGACACTATTGTGTATAGAATATGGCCTAAAGCTCATAGTGTAGGCTTAAAAAGTTAAAGTGTGTTTGAAGAAAATGATATACAGATACCTAGAAAGATTTAGATAAAAGTGATAACTTAAATCAACTATTCAACATGTAAGTCCTAACTTATCAGGCCATATAGATGCTTATGTGTGTGCATTTCCAGGTCTCTGGTATGCATTCGCAGATTTGTGCATGTGTATTTTTAACTTTTATCTATCTTGATCACCTCTTGAGTATTTACCCCAATGATGTAAGCCAAGCATGCACCAAAAGCCCCTATTAAAAACATGTGGAGAGCTTCACATTTTCATTGTGACATCTGGACAAAACTGAAAGTAAAATAGATAGTGTTTCATTATTATGTTTTACAACTTTGGAAAGAGGGATTTGGCTTGAATTCATGACATTGTAAGTAGAAGAGTTTTAAATATACATTGACCGACAGCCCAAAACACTTAAATTAGGAGAAATCATGCGATCACATTGTTAAAATAAGCCAATAAAATTTACATTTTTAGCTTCTTTCATTATGAGTATTTCACAAAATGTTGACCTATTCCTTGGCCCCACCCCCAGCTTGACATGCTAAATCCTTACATGACCATAAAGCCACATATACAGGGATGTGACCTTCATAATGCTGGACAAATTACACCTAAGGCACCTCTACCATCTGCTCAGAATCCAGAGCACTGACTCATTATATCACTGATGGAATAAGGTTATGTAAAATAAAAGAACAAAGAGTACAGGTATATCCTTTGTCTTTATGACAAGAACAAAGTCTTGGTTAAAACACAACAGTAAATGAGGAAAAAAGCGACTATCAGCCCAACCTTCATATTATGAGTCATGAACAAGAGACGCTCATGCTTATTCAGTGTGTCCACTGAGGTGTGCAGTCTCTTCATTTAATATTTCCATAAGGTTGCATATGAGTGTACGCTAGGCAATCCCTGTAATAAGGAGGTAATGTATTCTGTGCCAATGGCAAAAAGGTACGCTTGAAACATCCCTCACAGGAGCAGCAGTTTTCAACTTGACAGTGGACACATACATAATTAAGCCAACTAAAAAAATGAATATTTCATCTCAAAGCATTTTCATCTCCAAACATCAAAACACCTCAACGTCTCACATAATGAGCAAGGTAAATTACTTCTATTCACAGAGGGAATAGGCAAGAAGGAATGCTCACTCAAGGTACTGTGCTTACAAATATATCAGTTTGAGGAGAACTTACAACACTTCTTCTTTGTATTTTTGCAAGAATTATTTAATGGTCTGTGGAGGAAATGCAAATTATTTTCTATGATTGTTGCCTAACCATTTGTATAAGCTGCAATTGTGCTATTATGTTATATTATAGTGTCAGCTGCAATGCTTTGTAGCCTGATCTGATCATAACTCATGCTGACCTGTAATTCATGGCATGTCATCCATGCGTCGCCTAAGGATTCTTGGGTTTACACATGCCAATGGAGAGGATGGATTATTCCATAACCTCGCAGTAGTTTGATTTTTACTAGTGTGGTCTATTTGAGTATAGCTTTTGCTAAAGATTCCTCTCCAATTCAATGATGGCATAGATGCTTTCATATGTCAGAGTTTCCAAATAACTTTTTGATGTCTTTTATACATAAATATGTGTTCCCGGTGTGTCAGTAGACTCATAAAGTGTCCGAAAATAAAACCCTCTCTCTTTTCCACCTTACCCACACCTCTAAAAACGGGAGTACAACGGAGCTGATCCAGATTTGCTGCCGATATTACGTAATATCGGAAATGTGGGCTGGCTTTACGCCCACGGCCCTATCAGAAACGTCGCTATGAGAAACAATGCGCGACGTGTTTTGGAAGCAATATGGTCTGTGTTTACATTAGCAAGCATCGCTCACACTCAGAGCTAACGCTGTACTGTAGAGAGTATGTGTAAAGAAGCAGGATATAAAAAGGTATACTCACCTTGATTTTAAAAGCTACGGAACCAGAAATAGCACTTCTCTAACAGGCTGAAATAGAGGGGTATGAGGCATAGCTAGAATGGGTGATCTGTTTGGTATTTTGAGCAAAACACTTCATAGACATGTTTTTTATATATCTGAGACCTATAATATATGCCTAAAAATTGTATAATAGGAGACCTTTAAAATGCATAGGTGCATAGTGCTACAGCAGCACCACTGGAGAGAATTACTTTGACGGTCAAACCTGACTCAGACTGGCTCCCTGAACACCTTCATAGATGGGAATTAACCTGCCACCGCTTGAAACGCTTTACTGAGCGCTGGTCGATACTGTCATTATCCTAAAGCAATTCTTAATTCTATTTGGCCCTGAGCTAAAGATTCTTGTATTGATCACAAAGTAGGGAGGCCACAACTACTTTTTTCTCTGTATGTGCTGTTAAAAAAAAGCTCCTAGCTAGTGAATTTTCTTTAAAAACATGTTTCAAAGGGATACCTGAGGAGTGTTACAGTTACAAGGCACACGGTCCAGTGAGTGATACCTCAGTGTTTCATCAAGGGTAACAGAGAAAGGCAACTCTCTTTCATATCCTGTTTTGGCGAGATGAGAAATATTGATATTACTCGCCGAGCACTATCAGTGTGAAACAGAGCCTTTCAGAAACACAGCAGTGACAACACCTGTACTGAAGTTCCTCATTATATGTCTTTGTTCTCAATGCTTCTGTCACTGCTGCTGCGTGAAAGACACTCAGAAGGAGACAGAAAAAGACGCAGAGGAATCCTGAGTAGCATGAATACATCTTATACTGTCTGTCTGTCATCCACGAACACAAACAAACAGTCAGAGGCAGAAAGCATCGCCACCTGACACAGTCTGTACACGGAGGCCTGTGACAGTGGTTAACAGAAGAGGACATGTGTAGCCCCAGGTGACTCAAATTGCAAAACTAACAACACTATGCTTCATTGCACCAAGAACGTGGTGTGAAATACCAGTAGAAAGGGCATATGTGTGTGTGTGTGTGAATTCACATGCATGGCTAAATGTGTGTGTTTATGGGTATGCATTTGTGTCATAACAGATCCTATAATGTTATAATTGATAAGGACTTCATTAGAATTATAAAGGCTGACTGAACAGCAAAAACAAGAAAAGAAGAAAATAAATCTTTGGAAATCTAAATGTGATATTTATTTTCTTTTGTTATTGCAGTTAGAATAAAATATTAGTGGGACAATTGCAACAAGAACACTTTTTTGTGTTCATAGTTGGCTAAAGTAGCAATTAAAGTAGGAACAGAAGTCATGCTGCTGTTAGGCCCATTCAAACCCACATAAACACCCTCTTCACAATGTGTTATATGATATTCACAACTGTATTAACAGGAAGAATTGTAGCATAGTAGCATTCAATTAAATACGCTAATGAATAATTTAAATAAGTATGAGTATACTGTATGTGGGTGTAGACATGAATGTACATTATGTGTATAACAAAATGTTAAATGTATGTCTAAAGTGTGTCTGTAGCTTAAGCTTTCATTCCAAACATAGAATTGTACAAGATTTGGAAACATCCTAGACCAATATATATATTTGGTGTAAGTTATAAATCAAATATTGATATTACAAACTAATTTGTAATAATTAAAACTCACACATTTGGGCTTTAACTTAGCTTTGGGTAGTTTTTCTATATAGTCATTCAGTTCACAAACTTAGTTTTCATCCTTATGATGCTTATATTTGACATGTACAGTGAAGTAGGCCACTCAGGTGTTGAATCTGTGAAAATAGAGATCAGTGATTGCAACTTGGTATTGAAATTAAATTCAGGAGTTCAAGTTTTGTCGGTGCATAAAAATGAACTCTACCCCTAACAGCACCTACAATAAAAGCATATCAACTCACCTTTTCTTAATAAAGTAGCCTAGTGGATACCTAGCCTACTTCTAGCCCCATTGCCTATTCTGTCCTCAAAAGGGTGAGTATGAAGGTGTATGTGTTTCTGCACATTACGGCAAAGTTACCTTATTGTTAAAGCGTGCTATAGAAACCATTTATATCAAAGCTTTTTGATATTTCTGCTGTCCTCTCAGCTGTCTGACTGTGACAGCACTGTGCTGTTCTGCTACAGGTTATACTACTACTGCACCGCTCATTGGCTGCATTGACAGAGCACAGCAAAGTAGGTCCCGGAATTTAACGAGCCGTACCATTTCTCTCTACACGGGGGTTCACAGTGAAAAGCGACCGCAGGAGGTTGCTTCCTCACACCTCTGAAACACACATTACTCACTCAAACACAAACTTTACGTACCTTTATATCTAGTCAATTATTTTGGTACGCATAAAATGAAGAAACATTTGAAAAATTACGCGGTTCTTTTCGATCCCCCCCGCTGGATCAAGTCAACGGTTCGGCTCAAAATGGCTGGAGAGAAACAGTTAGGAGGATCGACGGTTTTGCCTGGTATTTACGAAAAATGAGCCTATCGTAGCTTGAAGGCGCTTCCTCCACATAACTGGGGATCCAGGTGAGACATGTTTAAAGTTAATCCAACATTTACACCCAGCCCGCTGCTGTTGGAGAGAGAAAACGAAAGCAAACAGGGCTCGTTTGCAATGTTTTCACGCAGCATTTACATGCAGCATTGAGGACCTCTGGCTAAAGTCTCTAATTTACAGAATGAAAAACAGCTTCAAACTCAATTCACAGTCGTCACTAGTTGTAGAGTTTACTGAAGTTGCACGTGCAATAAACAGTGGAGAGATACACTTATACATTATTGTCATACATTGTTTATGTGTGTAGCTAATGCTCAGCAGGCCTGCGGCTAACCCTGCAGCTGTGCATCGCTGAAATACGTCATGAGGCTATTTCCCCGCAGTTTGATCCGTGCACATATATCATCGAGATCAGAGAAATGTGCAAACACACACATTGCACGGAATTTTATTTTGGCACTGTGGGCTGCAACCCCCCTTCTGTCCTCAAGTCTCATGCTGAATGTCAGCTGTGGTGGAGGTGCACCTGTACTCTGACGTGATCAAGTTAGTTTGGTGTTCTTTAAGTAGTCATTGTGTGTAGAGTAGAACAATTAATTGGTTGCACTTCGATTGATTATCTTTGATTAAAGAATATAAGATTAATTCAAACTACTGGTATGGACATAACTATTGTTGTTGACATAATAACAAAAGCTGAATCTAGTCAATCATCTGTTACATAGCATGAATGTAAATCAGCAAGACATAATCTATTTAAACAGAAGGTGTAATGCAGTTTTTATTGACTGATTCGTATCTTATTGCACTTTATATAATTACATTTACAACTACATTAATGCAGATTGGACTCATGCTTGGGCCTTTTAATATACTGTTAGACTATTAGAGATGCTAACAGTTTTGAACTTCTGTGTGCATTTCAATAGATCTGTCAATCTATTTTCTATGGATTTTTATGGATTCTTTGCATCAATGTGATAAAGGGCCTTCTTCTTTTAAAGTTTGTTTTATGCCAAAGACTGATCTTTCCATTTATTTGGATTCTAAATGGATATTTCAGAACTACAAGCTAAAACAGTGTGAAGATTGTACTCTTATTTCCCACCAGTAAAGGCCCTTATCACCTTTAAATAAGTGCTTACAGTTATCAATTTCAAAGTTGTTATATAATATGGAGCACTGCATGATTTGTGGTGAATAACAATACAGACTGCTTTCAGTTAAAGGCCCTGACACACCAAACTGACACCAAAGAACACGTCCCGACAGACCCGACTGTTGTGTCGCCTCACGTCTCCTGCGTCTTGGCCAACAGTCACACTGGAACACACCGCAAATACTTCAGCCGACGGCCAAGTAGCACGTACGCACTGCGCATGCGTGAGTGGCAATAACTCTCCTTACCAGCAGGCGGCGGTAGTTTGTATTCGTCATTCAAAAGAGGCAACCGGAAGACAGACTGCGTGATATATACAAACAACAAATAGCGTGTGCGTTCCATTTTCACTCTCGTCCATCACAGACTGTTTCACAGACTGTTTCACATAGCGACTTATAATCGTATAATTCTTGCGTCCAGGTGAGATGAAAATTAAAAATAATAGCCGTCTGTGTGTGCCTAATCGTTTGTTTGCGTACCTCACTTCCGTTTCGCTTTTCATGCACTGATTCGCTAAGCTGAACAGCCAATCAGAGTGATTTATTTTGCCGACAGCCTCCGCTGCAAGGTGTCGACACGGCCGAAAAGACACGACGGTGCGGGACACACCAATCTGAGTAGGGCGACAGGACGCTCATCGACGGCCAGATATCTATCGACGGCCGAAATCGGCTTGGTGTGTCAGGGCCTTTAGCAGCATACTTTGCACCTGTTATAGGGCTGCTTTAGACCCCATTTACACGGGAACGTTTGCGTTTACGCACCGTATGCGTTTTCAAAAAAGTCTTCCGTTCACACGCATTCGGCTCAATTAATGTGTCCGTTCACACGAGACCGCTGGAAACGCTGGAAACGCTGTAGTACATATGCCGGGCCTGTAATTGGCGCTGCTGCCGCCACAAAATACACCAAAAGCAGCGAAGAAGACCCCGGAGCATGGTTGCCATGGTTGCCCTTCTGTTTATTCTCCGCGGTGGACGGCGTGTGCTCCTGCTGTAAATCTCTCCGGTAGTCCACCAGCAGATGAAAAACACCCACCTCTCCGCCTCTTCCAAGGGACGAGGGAACCATGCGGCAGAGTTTCCGTTAACATTTTTTTTCGCCGGTCAACATGTCCGTTAAAGTTGAAATCTTCCGGACAAAATTAGAAAAGTGCCGGTCAGAGGTCTTCTTTGTTATTTATTGAGCTTTAAAACAAATTGATAACGACTCTATATAATAATATAAGAATTATTCTGACAGCCCAGCAGCTGATCTCTGAGCAGGAGACGTGGGGAGAGGGAGGCGGGGCTATTTCATCGTTATCAAAAAATGATCGTATAGAGGCTTACACACGGAGCCGTTAGCCCCCCCAGAGCGTTCCGTTTGCAGATCCATCCACCTTGGGACCCGTTATCATTTGCGGGGTCCGTTTCTATCGTTTTGTTACGGCCTTGTGTAAACGAAAGGGCTATACGCAAGAGAAACTATGCGGATACAACCCGTATCGTCCTCGTGTAAACGGGGTCTTAGACATGCAGGTGCTTATATTTTCTGCTTTTGACACGATTCCAGATAACTCTTGTAATGCACCAGGGCTAAAATGACTTGTTATCGACTACACCTGACATTACTTATTGACACTATTACGCATGGTACTTTCTGTCACTGTGAGAGTAAAGAAAAACGTACATTTAGGTATTAGATACTGTATTGGGAGAGAGAAGTGAAATTCCACCAATGGAGCAATTGAGCACTTGGGCAGGAAACAGGCGGCTTGTAATGCGTGGAGAAAAAAATCTCTATTTTTCTGTATTTATTTCTGATTTCTGGCCCTTCTCCACATGGAGGTCAACGGCAGCTCTCCTACAGCTAGCAAGCAACTGTTGTATTGCTCAAATGTTGTGGCTTTTGTAGCTAACTGACCATGTTGCTCCACATGAGCTACTCTTCAAAGTGTTGACAGAGACTGCTTGAGTTCCTTGCTACACGTACTGCTCCTTCCATCCATACTAGGATACACTCTGGGAACATGATTTTATGCAGCTTTATGAATTTGGAGTCTAAGTGTGGCTTCCAGTCTGAGAAAATGGATGGTCCCTGAGGGTGTTTGACCTGAGAACAGGCTGAACATTTTGATTAAACACCTTTTTAAGAAGTTAAAAATAAGGAATATTATCCCCTGTGGTGAAATTAAGATACATTTGGATGAGGTAGAGTATTCCGCTGCTCTCAGATCCATCTTATTGGAACTGAAAGTCTCTCTCACTGTGGGGTACAGTATGTTCCAGAGAGTGTTCTTGGTTTTCCTTTCCAGATATAACAATTTATTATTTTCACTATCTGCAGCAGCCCAGTTTTTGTCATATTTAAGATGTCGTAAAAGTCAGCAAACCCCACATGTCTTCGGTCTTTATGCAGGGAAAGTTGACTGAAACCAGTTTTCTTTCAACAATGGTTTTTCAACTTTTACACTAAGTAAGAACTGGGAGTTCCCTTGGAAAAACAACAGGTTTTTTTTCTTGGCAATTCGGGCTTCAGTGATTTGCTCTAGGGGTTTAGTGTCCATCTGATGTAATACAGTTTTGTATTTTTACTGTAGAAGAGGTCCAACTCATGGTTAGGTAACATAATTAGGAAACATTTTCTAACTGTTGCACCTTTCTTTTTGTAGAAAAACTGCTGTCTCAGCAATCGTTTTATGCTGATGATGGAAAGCAGGTCACACCACACAAATCAGTAAACACTCTTTCGCATTCGGTAAAACTTTCACACTCATAACAGAAACTCCCACGACACAACACCTACTTCGTACTGGCTCTTGGTTATTAGACGTAGCAAACTTTCCCTCCTCCCCACGCTCCAGTTTTGATGAAGGTTGTTATCATAAGTGGAAAGTCATGCTTTCGGTTAGCCGTGATTGGTTGGTTTACAAAATAACATGTAAACCCCTCTAAAAAAAAAAAAAAACCTTAAAGGTCCAGTTCAATCATTTTATTTGTCCAGGTTTTGATATATCGATTGCCTCCAAGGCAGGTAAATATTGGTGAATGGTAATATATTTGTCATCCTCACAACTTACTTTTTTACATTTTAAAGTAAAATGTTTTTCCTATACAATGTCCAGGTGCATGTACAGTAAATCGAGACTGGACTCATGAACTCGGTAATCTTAAAATCTATATGTCAACTGTTGCTTTTTGAATATTGGGACAGGTATTTCTCCTTGTTCACTGATGTTTTACAGCTCAACAATTAATTGTGAAGGCTTAATCAAGAAAATTATGAATGAATGGACATTGTCAAATCTTTAATTGTGGCCATGATGAAAACTGTTGGCATTGTGTTCTCTGGATTATTAAAATAAGTAATTTGTGGTGGCTGCAGAAACCTTTGAGAAACTCTTAATGGCTACATGCAGTACACTACTAGCTAAGTGGTAAAATATGTTTTTCCTTCATTTGGGTGAACTGACCCTTTCTAAATGCCCTACTCTGCCTTAGGCGGCGTCTGACTGTTAGCATGAGACAACTCGCTCCATGTTATATAAGCACAGGTCACCTCAGTTCAGCAGAATAGTGTAAACACACCATACAGTTAATTTAATAATAATCACACATTGATCAGCTTTCAATCTGGCTCAAACTCTTTAATTACATTGTGTTCACATCTATCGTTCCTTACAGATCAGGTTGCTGCTCAGTTGGCAAATCGGGTAGCCTTGACATTTTTGCTAAGATTTGTTTTGTAAACTCAGGGCAGCTCTCCGCCTTATAGATGAGTCAGTGTGAGGAGCACCCCCCTTCCTACACACACACACGCACGCACGCACACTCAGACTAGGACAGCTCCCTTTATCTCACAGCTCAATGTGGAAAATGTCTCACA